ATAGTAATGATAATCATTACTATCATTACATACATTTCCATAATAATCACCATAACCACTTTTTCAAAGTATAACGAAAATGAAATCACGATAAAATTCACGACAGGAATTAGTTTAGAAGAAAGCTAATAATAATCATAATCACGATACGACTAATATTTTGTATAAAGAATGGAATTCTTATTTGACAGTTTGGATATTAGCGGGTGGTCATTGATGGCCTGTACATTATTACTGATCAGTTAAATTATTAAAGAATATTCGATTATGCAATAGAACACATATAAAGCACTCATATATATTTATACTTGAATTCTTATAAGTTGTAATTACTTTATGGTGAGTTTATGTATATACATGTAACGTTATGTAGATTTTTTGTAAATCATAACTATAGACCATTTTATGAGTGGCTCCTTTATTGTTCCTCAATTGTGTATACATTCTAGGTCTAAGAATTATTAGACTATTGAAAGATTATTAATAGTCCTAGTTATCTATAATGTTCATATTTGATAAATGAAATAAATTTATAATTAATAATTGTATGTCTACTAATAAATGAAATATCTAAATAAGATTATAATCTGTAATTATTCAACAAATGAATCAGTAATAGTAATATAATTAGAAATGATAATAACAGTAAAACGCCTGAATTTATTTATTCGTTGGTTTTTTTTTTGTCAAAAGATTTCTTTCTTTTAATTTATAATTAGATAGATGAAAACTATGTAAGGAAAGAAATAGTGGACTAACTCACATTCACAGCAGGAAATATATAAGTTAACATACTTAACTATTTATTATGCTTAAAGTCTATGTCAGCTTACTTATTTCCTTGTGAAAATCCTATTCTGTTAACTTTAAAGTAAACTCGTTTAGTCCAACAGTTGTCTACATGTTACAAAGTCTCAAATTCTAGGATTCAATGCTCAGTACTCTTATGAGTATCTTCTAGGAAGTCTCATATTAAAATGAAAAAAAAGCATATAATAATCTCTGATTTTCAGTGGTACCTTTACTGATGTCAGTCCTTGACATAGCCCAACTAAATTTTTGAATAATTCAAAAGATAGGCGTTTGAAAAAGTTGTTCCTTATAAAATTGTAAATCATTAAGCTTTTTTTTAAAGTCTAAATCGATTTCAGGATACTTAGTTTGTATTTAATGTAATCATATGTTAAAAAGGTAAAAACTTAGTTGTTGGAAGGCGTTGAGAAGCAATTCGGTACAACATAAACATGTTTTTGTCATTAATTAAGGGTAATTATTATCAGCGTTATAAATCATCACCAAACCACTGAAAAAGTACCTATAAGCTCAGGGCTCTTCATTATTGTAAACCTACAATTTCATATTAGAAATAAACCCAAGACTTTCAAATCTAGTAGTATGTATGATTGACAATATCTTACATTTTCAAGAATGGTGTCCCAAAAACAAACATAACGAAGAAGATAATAAGGGTTGATAGAAACAATACATTTGAACATAGAAACATACAGATTAACGTGAAACTGGCAGCGAAATTCGACTCAAATCTTCGATATGACGTTGTTGAGTAATGAGGGAAAACTTGCTAGCAGATTTTGGTGGTCAGTGAAGATCGAAATAATCTAAAACTATGTTGTTCACTGGATTATTCCAGTTCCATTTTCGAGACACAATAAATCTTGTGAACTGCTCAATGTTCTTGTCTACGTATATGAATTGCATGAGTCTGGACTTGTGAAATTTGTGTATGTAGGTGAGTGCAGAGGGTCCACGCGTCGGTTAGCACATTCAACATAAACTGAAAAACATATCTGTCCTATGTCTAATGAAATCAGTGGCCTAATACGTAAGGTGGGATACATAATGAAAAGATATGGTTGTAAATACTAGAGAGAAGGAGAGACGGCCATCAATTCTCCCTGAGAGTGCTTATGCTTATGTGTATGTGATGACACGTTAGGGTAGGAGTGTCTGTAGTGGTGATGCGCATGTAATGCATAAATGACAGTGAGTTGTAATGAATAGGTTGGAAGGGCGTGGTGAGCGATTACACTCAGGTGAGTAAATCTACCTGTATATGTGTGCTATGAGATGGATGAGTGAAAACATGCGTGTTGTTGGTGTTCATGTAACGTGTGGTTGCCCGATGTTGCGACGCGCGCGCTTGAAGTCACGGTGTTATGAATCTCCTCACTCAATCACATCCACTTGGTGGGTTTGTGAGCCTCGTAAAATGGTGTCTATTCTAGATAAGCCAATCGGCCTTACAGAGTGAGGCTTCATCGAACTTAAGTAGCTGGAACATCACCATTTTGGGGTTATGAGTATGACAAAAGTTCATACCAATTTACTTATTTCACTTCAATAATAACTCATTATAACTGATTGTCAATACAGCCCATCCTGTTAAGCATTCTGAGAAAATTTAATCATGTTGCAATCGAAAACGTCATTTGATGTTCGTGATAATCATGTTGTAAATTCATGAGATGAGCTTAAAATCCGTCTTACCATTATTCAAAGTGTAATAATAGTTATTAAAAAAATATCGAGACCTTAATAAATAATATTTTACCAGTCATTTTCTTGTTGCGTTATCAGTACCATTGTCATTTTGTTCCTATGATACAGTTTAACACGCACGTCTAATTCGTGATGATTAGTCTAGCTTACTTTATATATATTGAAAAAGTATATTTTTTTCAGTATTTAAATCAATGTCTTTTAAAGGTATTCTTCACTAATCAATTTGATTGATTTCAAAACACATTATTCAACTGTCTATTGTAAATGTTTAGTGATTAAAAAGGAAACATAGTCGTTCCCTAAATGTGTACATGGTTTCCTTATTTGAATAATATGTTCATTGATCTAGTGATTGTTAGAGAAATCAATCGTCATACAAGCATAAATTGTCATTATATTATATATAGTTGAATAGATTGAATCAAACTGTGTTTGGCTTCAGTTGTTAAAGTTTCATTCTCTAATATATCACTATTATTATTCCCTAATGAAATGTTCATGAGTTGTTTTTAATAATAATACTGTAATCATCATTATTATTACTATTATCAATAATATTATGCACCTTTGTTGTCTCGAACGCTATGCAAAAATTGGGTTGACGGCGTCTATATGATTTCATTATTCCTTAATGTTTACATGCATGTACATGATAGGTGCTGTGAAATTTCCAATGTTTATTGATTTCCATAAGTTAAAAAAATGGGTATATCATATTTAGTGTTGCTAAAATTATACATATATTGTAACTAAGGTCTGATTGTACTTTCATGTTAATTAATAAAATGTAAAGTGCTTCAAATCGATTTTATTTTAGTATAAAAACTAACTTATAGATCGATAAATTTTTAGAGAAGTAGGTTACATATTAATGTATGAACTAGGTGCAACAAAGTACGTCCAGTTCATAGGTCAATGATCATCAAAGACTGAAGATTGTCTTTGAAATAGTGGTAAGAACTGAAAGAAAAAAATCAAAGTTATCATTTAGATGTTCTATCGATCGTTACGCATAATCAAAATGACATTTCATCAAATCACTTGCTTTATTTGATCACTATTTAATCAGAATGTTAAGATCTAGTTAATTTGAAAATGATTTTCATCACTGGTATACATGACTTGATGAGATAAATGAACAAATCGAACAGAACATAGGCATTTTTTATTAAAGGTAAATATTGAATTTCAGGGGGATTCAAGGCACTCTAGGTAATGAGTTCACGATGAATTTGTTTCATTATGGTCTGATTACTTCCAGTCTCCTAAACTAACAACGGGAAAATACAAATATTTATATAGAAAGTAGGAAACTTTGAGAGTTATATACTTGAATGATACAACTGTCAATGATTCAATGATTTGCAATGGTTTTTTCGACTAATGTTAATTAGTAAATGTATTTACATTTTTTAAAATGATTTTCACCACTAACATCAATTTGGATAGATATTATGATATTCACGTTGGATCCAATGTTTATCTCTTCAAATGTCCATCTATTATTCATTAATCTATAGGTTTCATATAGTTACTGACTTTCCTAACGAATTTAATGTTTATTTGTTAGTGTTTAGGTGTCTATTTTTTGGTATTTATTTAGGATATATTGCAGAAATAAGAAAAAACCTACATACACACTAAAGAATTTCAACTGGATTCAACTATTCATTATATAAATAGAAAATGTCGATGATCAAATATAATTTAATTGACATCGTTTGTTTCATGGTTGTTTACATAGTCTACTAAATTCAATATAAATTTCTCAAATATTCTTACTTTATTATTGATCATGTTTAAATCTTCAAAAACTAGTCCGATTATATTCCATTTGATCATTATCTTTTAGGGTTCCCATCACAAACTGATATTAATTAGAAAAGTATTAAAAATCAGAACGCACTAGGTAACTGTTTCGTTCTAGTATAGGACTTTACGGTAGTAGGGATCCACAACCTCACCAGAAATTGAACCCATTACCTATGGGCGAGAGCGAGAGCGTAAATTCTAGACTACTGATCCAGGATTCAATGGTATACATACTTCACTTCAATCAATCCTGATATTATTAAGTTTTACTTTGTTTGATCTGTTTAGTTTAAGCATCGAGGAAGAACATAAAACTATGGACTATGTTCCCCTTCGTACGACTACAAATACACACAAGTACATAAAAAAATAACAATCTTTTTATCTAATATCATACTGATTTGACTACCCTTATTAATTTCCGACTTTATATTGACCTGAATACATATTTGTATTTATGTTTGGTCATCTTGAAAATAAACATAAGTAGTCAAAAAAACCTATATGCTTTTGTTAATTCTCACGTATGGGAAATTACAAAAAAGAAGCAACAGTTGCTTTAATATTCCTCTTTTAGCAAACCTCCCTTATCTTTTGGTTCTCTCTTGACCATAAACACGCGCACACTAATCAAGCAGCATTTATATTAGTTAAGTGTTTATTATATGAGAATAGCGTCCACAAATGAATATGACAAAATAAAGAAACCTCAATTATATATAATAAAACATTTAATTTTAGATCCATTGATAAATCGTTATACAATAACGCCTGAAATTACTATTACTACTACTACTACTACTACTACTACTACTACTACTACTACTACTACTACTACTACGGATTCCACTAAAAGTAAAGAATTGGACTATAACGTACAACACGCGACCGCTTATCAATAAACAGTTAAGAGAAATAAGAAAAAATTGTTAAATAATTAATAGACATATGGGCGCCAGATGGAAATGAAAAATAATCATACACAACCATATATATAAGGTAAATAAGATTTTAGAGCTAAGATAAGTAAAGTTTTCTATTAGTTTTAAAGGGTGTTGTAGGATAACACTGATGTACTGTATTCGTGCTTGTGATTGGGAATCTTACTGACACGAGGAGGGGCTGAACGAAGTAAGGGGAAACGACTATTAGTGAATAGAATAGAATAGAACATGAATATGGTTCAGATCTAAAAGCATCTTTCACTATCGACTATACGGTAATGCGTGATTTGATTTTAACGTTTGGATGTATAATGGTAGGTGAATAATGTTAAGGGATTTCAAAATGATGAACTATACCAATAATAATAATAATTGGTGGTATTTGTAGTAATAATATTCTTAGAGGCAGTGGTAGTATTCACCACCATCAAATTTAGTTTTAAACCTCTCTAAGGTTGCTCGGGTCCAAAGCTTTAGAAAATCAGGAGGATCGGGTCAGTAACCCCATCTCTTAAAATAGAACCAGTACCACCAGAGAAAACCAAATAAACTCTACTCTCGTAGGAGAAGGGTATTCATACAAAAAAGTTATGATGTCCCATAATGAAAGGTGAAGTTTTTCAGACGCCGCGAAGTAGATTGCCGTCCTAAAAACCAGAGCAACTATTAATATAGGTACGTGCAATGTCTAAACAATATTCGAGACAAGAAGCATCATTCAAGTAACAGCGGGATTAGAAAAATACAATTTGACGGTGAAAAAAGGACTATAGAAAAGCTATTATTGTATTGTGGTTTCGAAAAAGAAAATGGATCACACACAAAAAGTTGCATTGGTGCTGTTCAAAGAAGTGCGAAAATCACTCATTGGATGAGAAACTCATAGCTCCGGGATCACTGAAACATCTTTAAGAAACAAAGAAAAAAAGGATAACGATGTATGTCAACCACTGTTATACAATGAAAATGATAGACCAATTTTAAATGAGGTTGGAGTCAATTTTTTAAAAAATGCTCAGGAAAAGACCTAATTATCCTGACAGGAAACTTAAATGTCAAATTTAAGTACAACCCAGCGAGCACAAACCGAATCATACTTGATAAGGAAGCTGTAGAGCACCGTCAACAAACAAGGAGAATTTAATGAGGGTGTCAGAGCCAGAATCGATAAAGCAAGGGTAGCACTCCCGAAATCGAAGATTATGCGGAACTCAAAATGACTGTCATACAACACCAAAGTCACAATGATCAAAACCAATGTTAAAACAGTTCTATTTTACTCAAATGGAAATTGGAGGACCACCACTGACATCACCTGAAATGTACACGTATTTATAAACAGTTGTATACTTAAGATACTCCACATCCACTGGCCAGAGATCATCAGTAATGGCCGAATATGACAAAGAACAAACCAGTTAACAGTCGAGGAGGAAACTAAAAAAAGTTGTTGGACACACACTTTGTGGAAATTATGAAACTACATCACAAGACATGGTCTAACTTAGAGTCCTAATGGTTTAAGTGAAGTGGCAAACCAAATAAATTATGGCGTCAGAAATCAGTGGGATAAATTAAGACTATGAATAGCACTTTCCAACAACTGTAGAAGAGAGTTCGTGACAGAGTTGATTGGGGATCATCAAGAAAGATATCAGTTTTGAGTGAATTAAGCTTTTGTATTCATAATTTCATATCAAAAGTAAGTAAAAACGATATGAACAGAACTTTTCTTTAGATATTTTTGAATTAATTATTTTATGTATACGAACAACTTATAGAATGTTTTAACCTGCAATATATATATATATATATATATATACAACCGTGGTTAAAATGGCTTTTTTCTATTTGTTGCTCTTTCGGAGAAACGTGAAGAAATTTCATTGACATTCTTACATCAAACAAACATTTTCAAACAAATTAAATTGATCATAGGATTTATTGGATGAAATTAAAGAGCAAATAACTACTACGGGAAAACTTTATTGTCTATCTACTTTGCATATTCTTAAGTTAAATTAATGTAAGAGAGGAAATCGTTGTTGTATTTCATATTTTGTATTGGGAACTCTTAACAGTAAACAAGCAGACTGTACAGAATATCATTATTTCGCCTTATCCAGCTTATATCAAATTATTGCATATAAGTGTTATCCTAGTATTTAGTAAACAGACTATTCGATTAATTCAATCTTTTCACCAGCTTTGTGAATATTCAGTTGACTGGTGTATGGAGTCATGAATATGTATTAGTGAAGGCAATAGGAAGTTCAAAAAAAAATATGTTCTTCATTTAACTTTTGTTAATCACCATGACATGCTTCATGTGTAATTTATTCATGGATATGTTTGTCATAAAAACTACTTACTCATATAAATAAAAGGATATGCATATTATCTTCTATATAAGTGCACAAATTGTTGGTCAAATATGATAAGTATGAAGTTGGATGTAGCACATTACACTTTTACGGACAAAATTATATCCATTAACTCAATTATCTATTATCAATTTTTTTACTATGACTCATAGAATTATTGAATAGTGTTACATTTTCAATACAAATGTCAAAACAGTTCTACTGTATGGGGCGGAAACCTGGAGAACTACGAAAGCCATCATCCAGAAAATACAAGCGTTTATTAACAGCTATGAACGAAAATTGGACAGAACTGGAAAGGAAGGCCCAGGACAGAGTGGATTGACGAATACTGGTCGGCAGCCTACGCTTCATTGGGAGTAACAGGCGTAAGTAAGTTAGTAAGTAAATAAGTTACATTTTCATTAGATTCTATCTGTTACAACCATAATACACATATTTCTAGTAATTTTTCCCTTTCTATTTCAATAGTCAATCAATAATGGATGTCAATCAAAGAATAAAAACAAAAGAGAAAAACAGAAAACCATTTAAATTGAGATTTTTGTTTAAACTGGGGATTTTTTTTCTTCAACTTATCAACTCTTATCATAGTTAACAAGTTTTATGTGCGGGTTTGAATTTTCGTAGATTCCAGTTCTCAGGTTTCAAATACTATACAAACATACAAAGTATACAAATACATATGGTATACCTTCACATGTAGTACAATAACAAAGTGAAATATACAAATGTATCTAGCTGTTTTTTGATAATATTATTTGAATGTTTACATGTATGTTAGCTAGGCAATGTCAATAATGCTTGTCAATGATCCCATGAAGTTGATCTTAATATGGAACATTGAATATCAATAAATAAAATAGACATTATTAAAATAACAAATATAATGATAATCATTCAGTTTAATGTAGAACAATATGATACTGATATAGTGTAGATAGTGATATATGTATGGGGATAAATGTAACTCAATTTTACAGTTCAATGTCATTCAAATATCTCGAATGTATTTTAGCAATTAATTATGAAAGAGAAGGAAGCTGATTATGAGATAGATATTATGTAGTATTAGAAAATTTCATTTCTCTCAAATTTCAACATTATATCTGTCGATGTCCAATTAAAGGTTAAATATACCATGAAAATTTTTTGTAAGTCAACAAATATAGCGATAAAGATGAAGGTTTGCCTTCTACATTGAAGCGTATCTAGTGAACTTTTTTGGGATTTTAGAATTCAAGGGATCAAATCTTGGTTAGATGGGTGATTATTATAGTGTTTACCGTGTAATATATCTGATCATACATCTACCCCCATTTTAAGATGTCTATGTAAATAATGAAAAGGACCCTTAAAAAGGAGAACAGCTGTTCAAACTCATTATTATCTTTAAATGTTCTATCACTAAAGTTTGCTTATAGTGAAGCTGTCTTCAGAAAAGATATAAGCGGCCTATTTGTATATCAGGGCTACCTGTTTTCGCCATCAAGATATTTCAACAAGTTATCTGTCTTTTGTTTGTTTCAACGGATAATTATGTCAATTAATTGCACAACCTATTCAGGTGCGTTTGTGAAAAGTCTACGACCTTTCTCTGTACAAGTCAGGAAAGAGCACAATCAGAGACATCGTGGTGACTGGCAATATACATCGAAAAGAATGTACATTATTCAGATGTCGATTCCTGAACTGTCATAATCTAATTGGCGATCACTTAATATTTGTTGTCAGGATCGACCAAGAAATAAGAAAGGAAAAGTTGTTGAAATACTGTGAGCTGAGAATTCTATATATGTCGACTAAGAAGCATTTCTTGTATAATTATAATACTGAAATATTTTTAAGGGATATCTTTTAATCCATTTTTAACAAGAGTATTTCTTTAATTTATACTATGATGCGCACTGCTGAGGAGTCCCACAATAGGACGAAACCGCCGTCCAGTGCTTCCAGGTTTTCAGTGGTGGTCTAACATCAATCGGTCCATGATCTCAATCAAAAACTTATACTATGAGAGATGGAAATGTGTATTTCTGTCAAAAACGATGATATGACATTAAAAATGATATCTGTTTTGTTCAGATCATTTATCCAAACACAATGTGTCTAGCAACATTTATTATATGAAATGAAAGAGTTTTTAAAGTTATCTTTAGTATTCTTTTTTCCAAAAATGGTAACTATTTTTTGGTAATTATATTCTCAACAGAAACGTGATAACATTAGAAAGAAATTTGAGTTACTCGAAGTAATTTCATTGGTAGTTATAAATTCATTGAGTTATTATTAATAGATAATGTAATTTCAGTTAATTGTAAAAATAGATGAGAGATTTAAACAAACTTTAATGAACTGCTATAGTAATAATCGGTAATGTGCGTACTAATGATTAACTTCGGTATCGGAGAACCTGTAATCTATGGAAACAATATGGACTTGAGTTAGACACTATCTTATCGATAAAGTCGGATACTAATAACATTTATTGTTAATTGATTGACTTGTAAATGTGACCATTCGGATTTTGTATTCAATGATCTAAATATGTAATGTGTGCGCGACAGAGAGTCA